GGGTTTAGGGGTTTAGGCTAGGGGCTTAGAGGTTTAGGGTTTAGAGTTTAGGGTTTAGGGGTTTAGGGGCTTAGGGGTTTAGGGTTTAGGGTTTAGTGTTTAGGGTTGAACATCAATCAACTAAACCCGAAACCCAAAACCCGAAACCCTAAGCCTGAACCCGAAGCCTTCGGATTGTGGGCAATTGTGGGTCAGTTGCATTCAACGGCCTTTACGATCAACAAATGAACGAGGATTTCATCGAAAATGTCATCGAATATGTCATCGAATATGTCGCCGACAGGTCCACGGACTTGAATCAGTGAAAAGATATTGTAGTTGTCACCGAAAGTTTCACCGAATATGTCATCGAATATGTCTCCGACGAAATGCTAATGTAAAGAACGCTGGTCAATCAATGCAGAACGACTGTTGTCCACGAGCCCTATAATAGACTCTACCTTAATTTATTTCTTTAGCCCCAACACCAATACCCTGGTACACAAGCGCCTGTGGGACATTTCAGCCTACTTTCTCTATGCGGCAGTGGTGTAGCCTCCTAAAATTTTCCAATCTTTTGTGCAGTCCTGCTCAGCCTCTGATATCAGATGGCTGCAATCCTTTCCTGCAGTTGAGCAACGCTCAGCGCCTTATGGAGCTGCGTATCAGTGAGTGAGTGAGTGCATTCAACGGCCAGGCCCAGATGCTGCTGTTTGTCAGTGTGAAGCCCAAACTCTAAAAACCCCTAAACCCTCTGAACCCTCAACTCTTAAATCCTAAACCCTTAGCTGCTATTTTGGGAGTTTTGGGCTGATAGACGGATAAGCTCTCAGATGCGATGCGGCAGCCGTGACTTCGGATTTAGTGCCAGTTTGAGGGTCTGAGGTTGAGCGGTTTTTAGCGAGTAGCTAAGATGAAAAGCATACACATGCACATACATGCATATAGGCACATATTATACCATATACTTGATAGTTCAAGATGCTTGAAACAGAAGCTTGCCGCATGCAGGTCACGGAAGTGCCAACCGTGATTCAGCACGAGGTGCCTGTGGAGGCCCGGTTTGGGATTTAGGCTTTAGGCTTTGGGGGGTTTAGGGTTTGGGGTGAACGGTTGGGACTCGGGTCATGATGTTTATGTGTTGACAGACTGTCAGACGTGGACTTCTAGAAATGTAAGTTTTGAAAGGAACCCACGCATATACACAATCAGGCACACGCAGACATATGTATCCGCAGAAGTACATATGTATGTATGTATGCATGTATGTATGTATGTATGTATGCAAGGTATGCATGCGTGGTGTGGTATGGCATGGGATGGGAGGGGATGGTGTGGCATTGGAGGGCAGGCTCGGGCAGGGGGGGTGCTGTCGGGTGCAACAAGCCTGTGCTTCAGGATTCTCTTGCAGTTCTTTCAGTCATTGCAGGGGAATTGCATCGGGTTCCAGGATTCTCGAGAAAGCAATGACCCTAATTACAGCCCAAAACCTATCATGTCTTGAAACCCGAAGGCCCTAAACCCTAAAGCCCTAAACCCTAGTCCCTATCGCCCTAAACCCGAAAGCACTAAACCCTAAACAAAAACCTTCAAGCAAAGCTCTGAGGCCCCACGGCCCTTCTTGCAATTAAACCTTTAAATCCTAAATCGAACCCTAAATGTTTGGTTTAGGGTTTTGTTTGCCCAGTGTCTTATGGGTTTGAAGCATCAATTTCTTGAAAACTTAAACATTAAGCACAAACCCTAAAACAGCCCCAAAACTAAAGCACTACGTACAGCTTAGCCCCAAAACCCTGAACCTAAGCCCCTAAACCCTAACTGCCCTGGGCTCGAGCTCTACTTCTTCGACATCAGGTTCCCGAGGTCCACACGGTGGAGACCATCACGGAGGTCCCGCGCCCACAGTGCGGGCCCCGGCAGTTTAAGAAGTCTTTTGTGCTTAGAAACAAGGTTTGGTTATAGGGCTCTGGATTGAAGGTTTAAGGTGTAGGGCCGTGTAGGCTTTAGGGTTTAGGGTTTAGGGTAGGATTCAGGTTTCAGGAATTAGATTATTGTTTGTACGGTTCTGGATTTAGGATAAAGGGTATTGGGCCCAGGATTGAAGGTTTGCATCAGCACAGGACCTATGCCAATGCCCGGCAGCGTCCAGGTACTCCACGAGCTATTATTTTGTCCTTAATGAAGTGACTAGTGTTTTTGGCGTATACTTACAATACGGAACCCTAAGGAAAACTGTAAGTTATGTTTCGCGCTTCGGTATTCGATTTGGTGCTTCTGACGCAGGCGATGTGATCGGGTTGCCTCTTGCTTCCTGGAGCCCGGTACAAGTACGTATGATAACCGGGCATAGGGTGCTTCTAGCCTATAGACCTATGTATGGCCTTCTTCCTGAGTCCCACAGTCCAAGCAGAGGTTCCATCATGTCATTTGCCAGGGTCAATGTGGTGTGCACGTGAATGCAAGTTGTTTGCTTGCACGGCTAAATTCCTCGAAGACCCTCCGAAACAAACACACCCGCAATCCCTTGGCGGAACCGCAAAACCACCCCCACCACCCTTCCGGTTATAGCCTTATAGAACCGTTATATATTTGTAGAACCCTTAGAGAACCCTAAACCCCTAAACCCTAAACCCTTCAACCCCTAAACCCTAAACCCTAAACCCCTAAACCCTACACCCTTAAAACCCCCCCCACAACCCTACACCCTTAAAAGCCCCTAAAAGCCCCTAATGGCCCCCAAACCCTTGGTGGAGCAAGGTACCAGGCCGTTCCCAAAGAGATCCCCAAGGCTGGAAGCTGCCTTTGGCAAAACCCAGAAAGGTTTGGGTTTAGGGTTTAGGGTATAGGGTTTAGGGTTTAGGGTTTAGGGTATAGGGTTTAGGGTTTAGGGTTTAGGGTTTAGGGTTTAGGGTTTAGGGTTTAGGGGCTGCCCCGACAACTCCCGGAAAGGTTGGGGTTTCCCAGCTTCAGGGTAGGTTTGGGGTTTAGTTTAGGGTTTGGGCTTTAGGGCTTTAGGGTTTCCTAGCTTCAGGGTACTATTCGGGGGTTCCTTATCATAGTTATAGTATAACATGCCCCAAAACCCTATTCTAATCATTCAAGGCCCCACAGTAGGTTCAGGGTTTAGATTAGGGTTTTGACTTTAAGGTGGCCTGCCGGTTCAAAGGCTTTTGGAGTCTCCGGGAAGTTGGCATTTCTCTCTCTCTCTCTATATATATATACGAGCAGGTGTGTACAGGTACATATGCATGTACATCTACACACATTTAAAAACTTGATCTCTGAACCACATCCAACAAAAAATCACAACAACAAACTAGAATGCAACCAGCCGGCAAACCCTAGACCCAAAATCCAAAACCCTAAAGCGGCAATCCCGATGTTCTGGCGCAGCGCCCCAGTCCTAGGACCTTGAATGGGTCCCCAAACTCCCACTCTTCAACTAGAATTGCATAATCACGGAGTCTGGTTAGTTGTTTTTTATTTTGCCAGATTGCTTCATACTGAAAACAAGCACACAAAGCAACTCAACAGCCCCTAAACCCTAAACCCTAAACCCTGAACCCGCGGCCACCTGAGATCTGAAAGCCGACTGCCCTAGAGACCTATATCCGAAGCTAAACCCTGAAACCTGAAGTCCTCAACCTCCGAAACTCCCCCAAGCCCCTAAAGCCCAACAGCCATAAGAAGCCCTAAAAGCCTGCAGCGCAAGACCTCCGAAGCCCTAAACACTTAACCTGCACCGCCGGAGACTACAAGTCCTAAACCCTAAACCCTAAACCTTACACCCTAACCCTATAAACCCTAAACCCTAAACCTTACACCCTCACCCTATAAACCCTAAAACCTAAACCTCTCAGCTGGAACGGCCAGCAACCCGGAGCCTCCAGAGTGCCTTCTTTCGGGTTCCAAAAAAGGGGCCGTTTAGGGCTTTAGGTTTTAGGGTTTATGGTTTTAGGGTTTAGGGTTTCAGGGTTTTAGGGTTTAGGGTTTAGGGTTTAGGGTTGTAGGGTTTTAGGGGTTTAGGGTTTAGGGTTTAGGGTTGTAGGGTTTTAGAGGTTTAGGGTTTAGGGGCTACCCATGTACCAAAACCGAACAACTTGGACCCATCCTTCGGCGGATTTAGGGTTTAACTTGGGTCATTCCGAACCTCTGAGCAAGTCTCCTGCCTGCCAGTTCCACATCGAAGTGCAAGAGAAGGTGGAGTCACTCCACGGGATTCTACAAGAGGACGCTTAGGTCTCAGGTCTAAGACATTTTCAGGTGGGTAGTTACCGTTATAGGAGCCTTATACGAGGTCTCCATACCTTATGGAAGCCTTATAGAAGCCCTACATACCCTAAACTCCCCACCTGTAGTTTCCTTTAATCAGGGCTTATGAGGGTTATAGGACTTAGGGCATTTAGGGTTGTGGGCCACCCCATGGTGTTCTACAGGAAGACCCAGAGACTCCAAAGACCTTTGACTAAGGGATAATACAGGAGCCTTTATGATTAGAACAGGGTTGTCAGGTCCGTTTGTGTATAGATATAATAAGGAACCCTGAGGAATAAGCTTGGTAAAAAAATAGGCTCCTGTAGTGGGGGTGTAGGGTTTTTAGGGTTCAGGGTGTGCGTTTAGGGTTTAGGGTAGAGTCACCCCAAGACAGTCTGCAAGAGGACGCTAATCGTTTAGGGTTTATGGAGTCATACCCGCCTTAAGGAATCCTTAACTTCATAATCCGAGTTGGAAGCAAGTTTTTTGTGGAAGCCCTATCTTCATGGTTCGAATCGGAGTTGAAATGGGATTGAGGAGCATTTTTAAGTACATATTTTCGTATAAGCTTGTCGGGATAATTCAGAGACGATGCTTCCGGCTTAGCTTGCGTTTGGGGCTCGTCATAAGGTTTGTTTTTTGGATTTTGTGGTTTAGGAACTACGGTTTATAGCGTTTTTGAGGCATCGTACAAGTCTGCGACGATGATGCAGTCCACTGCTGTTCTCTTTGTCGCCAACCCAAAGTCCTTGCAAACACCAAAGCGCCAAGCGCTACCGAAACCCTGAAGTGTTGAGGAATCCGAAGGCCAAAACGCCTGTACCTTGAAGCCCCAAACCTTAAGCCCCAAAAACTTGACCTCAAAAGGGTTCAGGGTTTAGGGTGTAGGGTTTAGGGTTTAGGGTTCGGGATTTAGGGTTTAGGGTTTAGGGCTTAAAAGTTTAGGGTTGAGTTATGGTCTAAAGCTTTGAGCCCTCGCAGGAGCGCGTGCTCCAGGTCGACAGAACCGAGAGGGTGCAGGTGATTCGCGAGGCCAGCGGGGACCCTCATAGCACCCTTGAGGGTTGGGATTTAAGGTTTAGGGTTTAGAGTTCACGGTTTAGGGTTTAGGGTTTAGATTTCAGGGTTTAGGGTTTAGGGTTCAGGGTTCAGGGTTTACAGAGGGTTTAGGGTACCTTTATAGGAGCCCTTAGCCTTATAGCTCTAGAAGCCCGCATGGTGCCCATATGGACATCCTCGTAGTCGCGAGGCCAGCGAACTAGGACTTAGTGTGTTACATTGCGTCTTTGGGATGTAGGGGAGTGTGCGGGTTTTGGATGTTACTTTGTTTTCAGGGTCCTCCTAGTAGGGCTGTCGGTTTGGGATATGAGAGTTAGTCGTAGTCATGAAGCTTCGGAGATGATGAAACACGTGAGGCAAGGATGATGATTATGGCCGACCAGTTTTAGATGCGACAGGACTGTTTGCAGTGGCACTGAGAAAAATCATTATTACCATGCTGGTCATAGTCGGAGACACCTCGCCGAAAGCAGAAACAACATCCACATCAGAATCATTATGCACAACGCTGCTCCTGTATTGCTACTAGTATGATTTTTAGACTATGGGGTTGCAGTGCTTCATTGATCGGTCCACGTTGCAGTCTTTCCTAGGCTAGTCTGTTGAATTGGCGCTTCCCTTCGAGCACCAGTTGATGTGTGCGTGATGTGTCGTAATGTCGGTCCTCATGCGCAACATCACAAGAGTACATCATGATGGCTCCACTCTGACGACTCTACACATAGACCGCCATGTAATGCCTGTGACAATGTCAAACTGATAGAGAACCTATTACTGTACCTGAAACCCAAACAGCCCTTTTGGTCCATATAACCTAGATCGCTTTTGTGTTTTGTTGGAAGTGGCTCTTGTTTGCGGACACCAAGGTTTGGGGATGTTTGAGCTAGTGTTTCGATCATGGGTTCCGCAAGCCCTTCACATATTGTGCCTGACGTCGTTACCCAGAGAGGTGCCGAAGCCGATCGTGGAATATGTGAACAAAGAGGCCTTTATGACAGCCTGTATGCTTGTTTCACAGAGTCTTGTGGTGTTTCATTTTTTGGTTTTTACGGTATGCGGCTTTCGGGTTCGGGGTGTGTGGTTTGTACATGTTAGGACTTCGTACGCAAGAACGCGGGGTTTGAATTTATCTTGAGCCATGTGCTGTAGTGTTTCGGTGGTCTGAAAAGCGTTATGACGGGGCTTTATTGGACTCTCACCATTACAATATACTCTAACCGGCTTTGTTGTAGGACATGGGTAGTTCTCTAAATTCGGGTCCCTTTTTGAGTCCCGCACGGCACCCTTATAAAAGGACCCGCAAAGGGACCCTAATTTAGAAAGCTACCCACATGGACGCTGTATGGAATGTATAGGGGCCCCTCCTAAACCCTAAACCCTAAACCCTACAAGGAAAGACGTCGCCTCCTAAACTGCAAGCCCTGCACCCCAAATCTTCGGTCCGTGATTGAGGGTTTAGGGTTCAGGTAGGGGCTTTGGGTTTAGGGTTAGGTAGGGATTTAGGGTTAGGGTTTAGGGTTCGGGTTTAGGGTTCAGGGTGTAGGGTTCAGGGTTTAGGGTTTCAGGCAGGGCTTGGGGGGTAGGGCCTGGAGGGGAGTATAGGGTTATTGAGACCTTGCACCACTAAACCCTCAACCTTCAGCGCTCTGAAACATAGCATTTCACAGTTCACAAAGCGCCACCAACCTTGAGGCGAGCCTCATGTCACTAGCAAAAGCAGAGCTTTCAGCAAATCTGATCAACACCCTCAACAAAACTCCCCGAACTACGAACCTAAACGAGCTCAAAGCCCCACCTTCCAAAGGCTCTATCAGCTGAGACCTCAAAGCTCAAGCAAGAGTCATGTACCAGCTTGAGATCTTGAGGCAGAGAGCCCCCAAAGGCCTTCTACCTCTAGCCTCAGAAAACCTGCTTGTCTTACGAATTTAATCCGCACATCAGAATAAGACGCTCTAACATGTAGTTTCTCTAGGGACCCCACACCCAAAACCTAAACCTCTGAACCCCTGAACCCTCTGAACCCCTAAGCCCTAAACCCTTCTGAGCCCAAAAGTCCGAGATCACAAGCCTCTTGGAAGGTCCCGCGATTCGAGACCCGGGTAGTCGAGAAGGCCGCTTCAGCAGGGACGGGGGCGGGAGTTCTGCGTTTGTTTGGGCGGGTTACAGGGTTTTGGGAATGTTTCTGCGTTTTTGTGGTAATTATGGCTGTATACAAGGAGTTTATTCGTTTGATTTACCCGTGGCTTTATCTGAAGACAATCTGCGTGATGGGTCACACTTGCACTCCAGCTAGTCCGCAGTGGGAGGTTCTTACGGGGTTTAGGACTCAAGACTTTTTTGAAAAACCAATGAAAGATGATAAGACACTGCTTGTGTTAAGATCTGCCCAAAAGCTGCAAAGGCCTGCAAGCCTGCAAACCTTGCAAACACGATTTCAAGAACCCATGGCCACGTGAAAAAGCTCTGTGAACGCTAAGCCCTCAACCCCAACGGTGAGCCCCGAAGCATGAATTCTTCCCCTTTGTCTTGTTAGAAGTGCTTCAAGTAACGCCCGAGAACGCATACTGAAGACATCGCATATGCCAGATGACACCCACGTAAAGGCCAACACGAAACTACCATGCAACGCCGTTGACTAAGCTTGAGACTTTAAACTTCTAACCCTACAAGACTCTTCAATACACCTGTTCAACTCTATAAAACTTTCGAACGTCCCTATAGAACTCCTCTGAAACCCTTCCAAACCCTTATAGAACTCTACAAGACTTGTCAATTCAACCTATGTTCCTTTGCAACAAATCTCCACATCAAAGCCCCGATAACATTCTACGAAACTTTTCAATACCTGTATAAATCTCCACAAAACTCTTCGAACCTTATTGCATTCTTCACAACCCCGCAAGAGAGAAAGGACAAGCCCTCAAGACCCTAAACCCTAAACCCCAAACCCCAAACCCTAAAACTCTCCTTCATATAGAAATTTAAACCTTAATGGGTTTTCATTGGATATCGCCTTAAACCTTAATGGTTTTTCATTGGATATCGCCCTAAACCT